TTTAAGTTGTTATAGCATCAGGATGCTCATGTACAGTTGGATTTGCTCAACAAACATAATTGATGTCATATACAACAATATAACCTAATTGATCAATGACACAATCAAATTCCACATGAAACTAACAATCTCTCATTTGAAAATTGATTACAATCAATGTTTTTCCTAAACTGTAGCATCAATCATCTTACCTATACTATAGCTCATCCCCACTTTCATCCTTCATGAAAACATACTGAAGTTACCCATAGGTTAAATTTTTTAATTGTGATTGTCTTTGTTAGCATGTCTACAAGATTAATGGCAATGTGTATCTTCTCTAAACATAATTGGTCATCTTGCAAAAACAATATGATTAAATGTTATCAAAGTTGCATATGTTTTATCTTAGCATGAAATGCATCATTTTTGGCTAGGTAAATAACACTTATGTTGGCATTATGTGACTTCCATTTCCTTTGCCACTTGTCAAATTTGGTTATAAAACTTTACAACTATATCATCTTCTTGCTAGCCTCAGTAATAATAATGTACTCAACTTCTATGTTATGCCCATACCCAATACAACTCATATATAGTAAGAAAATAATGAATTTTGCATTAGAATAAAATAACAATAGTAAATATAAAAGCTAAAAGCTACCTTTTACTAATTAGAGAAAACAAAGAATTTCCATTTTTTAGATTTAATTATTTTATCTTTCTATTCTAATAAAAAATTTGCCAAAATATTTTAGGCTTTTTTTTTTTTTGTAAAATGATATCATGTCATATGAAGCAAATTCAATTTCAACAATGCAACTTGGACTAATGGTAGATATATTTTTTAATTGTGAGTTATCAAACTTTTACGAATAAGGAGATTTTAATTGTATACCACTTTATGAATTCTCAATGTATAATTAATATTATACAACGTAGTGCATATTTACTTTATGAATTCTAAATATATAAAGTTATACTCCTCAAATATATATAATAAATTTTCATAATTTATGTGGGTCATTTTAATACATGTATTTCTTTTCTTATATTTATAAATCATATGAATAACCACATAAGCATAATGCTCTATTAAATATTTTTTTTAAAAAAAATTAATGAGCTAAAGAGTGCAACATCATATAGTCATGTGCAAATGTATGCACAAGTGTTTAGTTGAATCACTTTTGTTTAATGTTTAGTTCACTTAGGAGCTATAGAGGTCAGAATCACAAGGAAGTTTGGAGGACACATAATTGCTCAAAACTATAATAAAGAAAGTCAAACCAAGAAATATTGTAACTAAATCACCATATCATATTAATCTGATAATTTCATCGTCGTCATCTAAATCCTTGTACTTGTTCATGGAAAACTTGAAAGTGAAACTCTTATTACCAAGAGGAAAGGCCCTGTTGCTCCTCGTACCACTTCCTCTCTTGTTCTGATAACCAGGATAATCTTTCTTGTGAAACTCCACCTTTTCCTTCAAGGTCAGACCTCTCTCCTTTGCTGAACCTCTAATGTTCCAATTATTAAAAGGATAATCATCTCTATGACTAACATGTATCTCACCATTTTCACTTAGCAAGCATCTTGCACTGTTAAAAAAATCACAAAGTAACTTCTTGTTCCTCCTAAAACAATAATCAACATCGAAGTTCCATATTATTTTAAGACAAGGCAATTAGTAGATATCAACATTAGTTAATTGATAGATATACAGTGATCGATGTACTTACAAAATGGCCTCTTCATGTGTATCTCTGAGCCCTAAATAATGTCCTGCATGAGGAAAATTAAAGATGATTCGGTCGAACCGCTGGGCTTTCAAGAAGCGATCTTCATGCATGTTTTCCACATTAATTCCATGTAATAATGTGCATCCTAGGCTTTTAAGCTCATCAAGGTGAATCGTAGCGGTCCAATGCTTCTCCAGCAATTTAGCTGATATGTAAAGGCACATCAGACATTTTTAGTGAGCTGATTTTGTTGATTGTTGATTATAATAATGTCTAAATAAGTATAGATTTAGTTTCTTTCAAATTCATAGCACTGAAATGTATTTGGAAAGTATAGGACTTGATTTGGTACAGCCTTTTCAATGTTTCTAAAAATAATTTCTTAATTAAAAATTTATATATTGAAAAAATTACGTTAAAAAACAATAAAAAAGCTGCCCCCAAATGAAACATAAATTAATATTAATTTTTACTATTGATTAGTTAAAATGATGGAATCTACCAAGCTAATTATTTAACAGTTTTTTCCTTGTTCCAGCCGGAAGAGGATTTTTCCTCTTCCCCCTTCGGATGGATTTTCATCCGAAGGATTTTCCCGACTAACCTCCCACCTCGTCAAGGCCTCCACCCCTCCCGGGGCTTTCCTATGCCGCTACCACCGCATCCCCCGCTCCCATCCCGGAGGCTTTTCCGGTGATGTTTTATCCTCCTATTCCCAAGCTCTCGTTTCGCTCTGGGGACCTTTGCGAAGGTTCTTCGCTGTGGAAGTTCTCGTTGATTGGCTACTCTCTGGGTCAACGCCCTTACTACGAACGGCTCCTCTCGGCTATGAAGAAGGTATGGCCTTTAAA